CAAGCGACTTTTACGAGATTCATGTAAATTTAATTTGTCTGCCAACTGTTTGCGCTGTCCATCCCCAAATGCAGTTCATCCCGCTCCGTTAGCAAGGCTTTTGCTATTTGGCGGTTAACCGAAAAATATTCGTATGCAACACATTTGCAACTTTGCAACGTAACACACAACATGCAAACCAAACGCATGCCCCGCCCAGTTTCAGCCTACTTGACTAGCACAGATAGTTTTGCATTGTTGCGGTAAATTGGCAAAAATTTACGTACCATTGGCATTTATTGTTTATGCATTGGTTGCATTGCCGCATCATGATGATGCCGGTGACGATGCCAATGATAACGATGATGATGCTGCTGTTGATCATTATGATGCTGCTTGCTTGCCACTATATGTAGTTGTCGTTGTTGCTGGTCGCTTGTGGCTTTAAAATTGTGGAAATTACATTTTTGCAGCTTTTTTGTTTGCTGTTGATATTATGAAATATATTTTATATGGCTTAAATAAAGATATATCGTATATATATATATATATATATTCTTTGAAAATCTTTCGATTAGTGTTGCAGGCTTTTATTTTAATTAAGGTTTTAGTTATAAATTGTGCGCTTTACGGTTAATTTCGAAATGGAATTGAAGGCTCGTAAGCTGCCATAATTGGTTTGTTTTAAACAAGTGGGCCACAGTTGATGGGATTTATTTTATTTATGTTATATAACAATTGTTATACAAGTGACCTAAAACTAGGATTTTGTTGAACATTTTAGTTTTAAAGTTTTTACACAACATTTTCTTGCACCTTTTTCAAAGCCAATAAACAAACAGACTTCACATTTTGGTCATAAATAAAAGGCCAGCCGGTTTTTAGTATTTGCCAACAGCTTGCCCAAAGACGTGAGAAAAATGCGCCCTGGCTACAGTTTAACGCTTTTGGCCTCAAAAAGAACACCTGCCGCTAATGGCCAGTGTGCCTTTCTGTGAGAAGCGTTTTAGCCATATGTTTGATTTATATGCGTTCATGTCTTCTCTACATGGCATATCTAAACTTTTGCCACATTTACAAACACACACGCACACAGTGACAGGTCGTCAGGGTTGACTTTTTCGAGCCCAACTGGGCTCAATTTCTGTTCAGCTGACAAACAATTGCCATGTAATAGTTACTCCACTGGCCTTGTTTGCGAGGGTTCCTCTTGCATAATGACAGCTGTGTGACATGTCATAAGCTCAACAACAACAACAATAACAACAGCAATAGCATTAGATTACACACCCACACACACACACGCATACACACAGTGAGTCACATATTGATGATGTGCGTCAAATGCTGTCGCTGTTTCTGTCAATTTTGTTGGCCACAATGTTGTTTGTGTTTTGGCAGTTGGGCTCTCCAATTGTCTACTGTTGTCCAGCGCTCATTTGTTCAGTTTGTCAGTGTGTTCTTCAATGTATTGCTTAGTTCATTTATATTGTTGTTGCTGGTTTGACAAATTGATCGCGTGATATGTTTGCCCAATCCTGACATTGTTACTACTGGCTGCAGCTGTTATGTTAAATGCGCCAAACAGTTGCATTATTTCTGCCTCAGCAGCAAATTAAATGCGCAACATGCACCCAACGGATTGCAACTTTGTGATATCTACTTATTTGTGTTGTTCCCAAAACTAATTCCCGACCAATTTAGCTAAGAAAATAATTGAAATGGAATTGAAAGTGGTTTGAGATTGAATTGGAACAGAATAGAAAAACAAAAGGAATATTGACATAAAATGGGCAGAGATATTCACCAACAGTTTAGATATAGATATAGATATAGATATAGATGTAGATATAGATATAGATATAGATATAGATATAGATATAGATATAGATATAGATATAGATATAGATATAGATATAGATATAGATATAGATATAGATATAGATATATATATAGATATAGATATAGATATAGATATAGATATAGATATAGATATAGATATAGATATAGATATAGATATAGATATATATATAGATATAGATATAGATATAGATATAGATATAGATATAGATATAGATATAGATATAGATATAGATATAGATATAGATATAGATATAGATATAGATATAGATATAGATATAGATATAGATATAGATATAGATATAGATATAGATATAGATATAGATATAGATATAGATATAGATATAGATATAGATATAGATATAGATATAGATATAGATATAGACATAGATATAGATATAGATATAGATATAGATATAGATATAGATATAGATATAGATATAGATATAGATATAGATATAGATATAGATATAGATATAGATATAGATATAGATATAGATATAGATATAGATATAGATATAGATATAGATATAGATATAGATATAGATATAGATATAGATATAGATATAGATATAGATATAGATATAGATATAGATATAGATATAGATATAGATATAGATATAGATATAGATATAGATATAGATATAGATATAGATATAGATATAGATATAGATATAGATATAGATATAGATATAGATATAGATATAGATATAGATATAGATATAGATATAGATATAGATATAGATATAGATATAGATATAGATATAGATATAGATATAGATATAGATATAGATATAGATATAGATATAGATATAGATATAGATATAGATATAGATATAGATATAGATATAGATATAGATATAGATATAGATATAGATATAGATATATATATAGATATAGATATAGATATAGATATAGATATAGATATAGATATAGATATAGATATAGATATAGATATAGATATAGATATAGATATAGATATAGATATAGATATAGATATAGATATAGATATAGATGTAGATATAGATATAGATATAGATATAGATATAGATATAGATATAGATATATATATAGATATAGATATAGATATAGATATAGATATAGATATAGATATAAATATAGATGTAGATTAAGATATAGATCTAGATATAGATATAGATATAGATATAGATATAGATATATATATAGATATAGACATATAGACATATAGACATATAGACATATAGACATATAGACATATAGACATATAGACATATAGACATATAGACATATAGACATATATATATATATAGACATATAGACATACTAGCGGGTATAACCCGGCCTTGCCCATGGCACGTATGTTATAAAATCAATGTTCTCAAAAAAATTTGAAATGATTTTGAAACTGATCGGACGGTAAACAAATAAATTTCTTACAAACGTTTTCCGCCAATTTACCACTGTTGCGAGTGGAATTTCCCAAATCGCTGAAACACGTATTCATTACATTCTTATGTAGAGCTTTGAAAATAAGTTTGAAGCAAATCGCACACAACTTAAAGCTTCGCCCAAAAAATCTTTAAATCGCATTCCCGTCGAAGAAGTTTGAATTCTGCGAAAAGTGTGAAACACGTATCAAATGATTTTTCTTATAGATCTCTGAAAATGAATTTGAGCGCGAAACGTCACCCACCAAATCTTTGACATCCATTTCTACCAAGGAGGAACGGATTTTCCTAAAAGTCAAAGATCTTTGAAAATAAGTTTGAGGCCGATCGGATGGTAAAAAGTTACATACAAACGTTTTTCAGATAGACAAAGACATAGATATAAACACATTTCCATTCAATCCTGATAACAAATTATGTTGACTTTTACTAATTTGATATTAACTTAATTTATTTTACATTTAAAATTGCAAACAAATTAGTCACATAATTGAAACAATTGTGAGATATAATTGAACACAAATTAAAATACGAACGTGCAGAGTCAATCAGCACTGAAAGAAAACAAATAAAATTGTTATTAAAAGAAAATTTGAGTAAATATGAGAAAAACAAAATATATGTGTATAACATGTAATTTAATTCATTAGTACATTTGCAATTCATTTAACTGAGATACAACTTTATTTTTCAATTATTTCTAAAATTAAATTAATAATTGAATTTAATACAAATTCCAAGGTTTTTGATGTAATCATCGTATGAACATCTGAACGTAATTGAGTAGATAATGTTTTCGGGAACACATAACATGGCAGCTGAAAAACTTTTCAGCAGCGCTGAGAATTTGAGCCGTTGTTATGCCTGATGTTAGACAATGGAATTTGCTGACCAAAAACAAGTTGTACAGCTTTAGATCCGACTTTGACTTCGCTTGCCCAATCAGTTGCAATGTGGGCAGCTACCTCTCTGTCATTCTAACTTCCGACTCTCACACTCTCAGATATTGAGATACATGCATAATTAAACCGTTGACAGTGGCAGGCAACTTAGTTGTGGGCGTTGCCGTTATGAGGCACATACCCAGCCACGGAACACGGGCCACGGGCCACGGGACTCGGCAACCGGGCAAGCCAGAACGACAACGACAACGAGACAACGTCAATTCGTTAAAATCTACGTCAGCTTTGCTGCTAATTTTGTTTGCCTTTTGTAGCATACACACACACACACACATACACAATTCTCGCCGACACACAAGCACACACACGCCAGGCATCCTTCATGTGCACAGTGTTTGAGAAAAGTATGCGCACGTTTCGGCTCGTAACATTTGTCGTTTTGTTTGCGCTGCACTTCAAACACTGCAGACAAAATGCTGTCGAAAATCCACTGATGTCTGATGTCTCTATATAGCCCAGCCCTGGTCGGTCCCTGGTCCGTCTGTAGTTAATCCGCCTAACGTTATACAATGAAAAGTTTTTTGTTAAAAATTAATTAATTTTATGTGCAAACAGTTGTTAATTTTTTCATAATTCCTTTCTTTTTTAATTTTTTTTGTTTGTTTTTTTTTTTGTGCGAGTCCTGTTGACCCTCAACGTGTGGATTTTGCCCCGGCAACGTCTGTTGGGTTTTTGTGTGAAATTTCACTTGGATTGTTTTAATTGGCTTAAACATTTTTAGAGGAACCTCTTTTTTAATCACGCGCATTTTTCACATTTTCTTTTGCAGACTTTTACACATGTGCCAGTGAGTGGCCCAAAGCGCATCGGCAAGGAAAATACATCCAACATCATTTGGAGAAGTGATGAAGTCATGAGACCGACATTCGATCGACGCCTCTGGATATTATTGTTCATTATTTTAGTACAATGTAAGTGGAGACCTTTCTCAATAAGACATGACCAAATTAATGCGGCAAGTGGCCTCACTAAGCCAAGCAGCTCATATATTCGCCGCATTGCTTTTGTTGAAAACGAATGCTCCATTTTGTATGCTGGCAACGTGTGAAAAATAGTTCACAGATAATCGCAGTCAGGCAGGTCACATTATTTATGCGCCAGCACACACAACGCCTCCGAATCGCCCTCCTGCTCCACCCACACCGCATCGCGGCTTGAGTCGCCTGTCTTCAGTCTCTCTGCTCCACAGTCTGTTTCTGCTGGCCCTTATCAGCTTGATATTCTATGCCACAAGCAGCAAACAAAGCCATTTCTTTTATTTGATGTGCGTTTTGGGGCTTCCAAGTTTGGGACGCAAAAAGAAAAACGCAATACGGTACGGGCCAGCAGCTGACCCTGAGCGTTGGCTGGCCAAATAATATGTATGTGGTGTTGGCCTCAAGGCCTGTGCTCCAATAGGATAACCAGAACAGCTTCTGCATAGCAAGCAACTTGCGCTTTGCTCTATAATGCAATGAGGCGTATGAGTGATATGCCATTAAGCAACCCATATTACTCATACGAGCGTGTAGCGGCATATGAATCTGTGCTATGCTAAAAAGTCACTGTTAAAATATTTATTAAACATTTTACTTGCACACACAAATTATGTTCTTAGACTCCACAAAAGTATTTCAATTAGTGTAAAGACAAATGAGGGCTTTTAAATATTAAAAAGCCTCAGAAGTTAATATCTTAAACAATATTTTCATGCGTTCGACTCGGAAATATTGTCCCTGATATATTATAAGATATTTGATATTAAACGTTTATTAAACATAAATTAAAACTTAACATAAAATCGTATACATTTTAAACGGGAATTCATACATGAAACAGATTTTTTTATTAAAGTAAGCTTATCGACACATTAAAAATAAACCAAAGTTTAAATAACTCGGCAGAAGATAAGTGAATTAATTTGAGGTACGATCAAAATTTTGATAAAGAAATTATTAAATTAATTAATTTAACGGAAATAACTCGTGATAAATCAAACAATAAATTATGCGACAGCAAAACAATTATATCCCAAAATATAAATGCTTTTAAATCACATAGAGAACTTCGAAAGTAATTTACCTTTCAAATTACTAATTGAATCAAGAACCGCTTCGATAACGCATCGCTTCCGTCAGAAACCAAATTTCATGCCAGCAAATGTGCCACTTTTCTGTGGGGTCAGTTCAAGGTTGTAGTGAACCACAGCGGCCACACAGAAAAATGCAAGCGGAGAGCCACAGTGGCCAGAGTAAAAGTCATATGCGTGTAACGAGCGGCGCTGCTAGGAAAATACCGGGCATATCCGACTACTCAACGCAGACAAACGGAAACGGAAATGCGCATTCAAGAATTTTAATCTGAATGCGCAATTTCGCGTGTGAGCTGTGTTCCAAAATGGCGCGGCACATGTCGACCAAATGGCGGCATCGCAACGCTGCCACGTCCCATGTCGACCGGCTGGCACCGCACCACTTCCGCGTCTGTCCCTCCCCCCTTGCCCTGCCCTTAACCGCCGACCGCCGCCCCTTTGTGTAGCAGCGCACATGTGCCACTGCGGTGCGCCTTGGAATTTCACGCGTTTATTTGCAAAGATTACGAAATGCGCCCGGGCGCCCGCTAAAGTTTTGTATGCGCTTCCTGTGCGCTGACGCTAACGTTGCCTTTGCCACTGCACCATCCGCCCGCGCCCCGCTTTGTCGGCCACAGTGGTGTGTGTGTGTTTTTTTTTTTATTGTACTGTTTGCCTGTCCGTCCGTTCGCCCCGGCGTCTCGCTGACTTGTTATGCATGCAAAAGTCTGTGGCAAATACGCTGCCCTCCTCGCTCGTTCGGTAGTGACATGCAAAATATTTTTGCATAAAAATGTTTGCCCACCAACACACCCATACTTGCACACACACCGACTGCTCGAGTCCTGCGTCCTGCACTCCTTGGACTGGCAGCTGCAGCTTTCGGCTTTAGCTAAAGCAATCCCGTTTCATATGTGCAAAATTTTAAATTTTAAACAACTTCAATTTCAATTTTAGTTATAATATAATTTTTTTTTATTCCTGAGCCAAGTTAAGCGCAAAATTTGTCGGCAAATTTTTGGTAAAAATTTCTCTTGTCACTTTTTGTGCTTTTTTTTTATCTTCTTGTGCTACCTTAGCAATATCATCGGATGTCTTCCTCTTCTCCGCTGGGTTTAATGTCCGACATTTTATCCATGTATTTAAGCTGAATGTGCGTTTGCTACGTGTTCGCCATGCTAAAGACTTCCGATATGCCAGCTCTCTAGCTCTCCGGCTAAGCGAAATGTGTTGCATACTTAAATGCGACAGCAAAAACAGCCATGAAGCACATTTCAGCTCTAATAAAGTGGCGCATTGGGTGTGCTTAGTCATATCATTGGACTGTCATCATCCGGTGCTGTTCGCATTGACATTTACATCGACCTCCGTGATAGAACAAACTGTAAATCGCTTGATCTAGTACATTTGAGGGCAGCCATATTAAATGTATCTTTAATTCGAATTTGAATATAAATTGATTCGGTTTCAGAAATTAATCGTTGTTTAGAACAATTTTTCAATTTTTTGGGTGATTCCTATTTGTACGACTTTCAAAGGGAAAAAGCCTGAACTTAAGCAATTGGATTTACTCTACTTTTCCATCTTATTATTAGTCAATTTTTCTTTTTTGTATATTTGAAATATTTTTCAAATTTTTATGACCAATTTCTGATATGTCTCCCTAGGTTTTTATTTTTCTAGCGTTAGTTAGTTTTTTAGTGCTTAAAATATTTCCCAAGAGGAAACTTACGACCAATATTTATTATTATTTTTTAAAAGTGTGAGGAGACTGTTTTTTGCATATTTTTATGTAAGTATATCAGCTCTTTAAATTCTTAAAGGCTGTGCTTTATGCTGTAGCAAACTAACTTTAATAACTGCTCTCATCAGCTGCCTTAATGCCCAACTATCTATCTATGAGAGATCTCAAACTCCTTTCAAACAATGTCGTCTTTTTCAAAAGTAGGCAACACTGCAGCCTGCAGAATGAACGGCATCAGAAACAAAATTCCAAACGAAATCAGCTTAAATTTCAGCTTTCAAGTGGACTCCTCCACTCAATTTTGTGCTCAGTCAGCGACTCGCTGCCTCCGATGTTCGGATGGTGCAATCAACAAGACAACCGCAGCGCGTGTCCTGGCATGCGTGGGGTAAGGGCAGGCGTTCTGACTGGTGGTGCACGGTCGAAGGTGGGGAAAGGGGATTTGTGAGACCAGCTGCGGCCGCTCATAGATGACTCTTGAGTCTGAGGCCACTCAGCACCAGCAGCAGCACCAGCAGCAGCACCAGCAGCAGCAGCAGCAGCAGCGACTGCAGCTGCAACGTGGAACGTAGTCGCCGGTCTCGTCGTCGACTTAGTTAGCCACTTTTCCTTTATATAAAATGCGCCTTTTGTGCCTCGAGTGCCCCGGCTGCCGCGCCGCCCCTTCCTCACTTTCATAAGAAAAATACAGTTTGCTTCAAGTTTATTTTAAAACTCCGACTTTTGTGTGCTCGAGTTTACTTTGGTGGCGAATTACTTTTCGGTTATTTTATGTGGTCCACAGACGCCGCTGATTGTCTTGTTGTCTGGTGTTGATGCAGCGCCAAAAGCTTCACAGACTGTAGATACTTTTGGGGTTAGGTCTACTACTTGCACTTCCTGCCTCCTGCTTCTGCTGCATCCGGTTCGTCGCGGAGTTTATTATGTTGGCCACTTCAAGTCGAAGCCGCTTGCAAAATGCAATTATCAAAAGTTTTCGTGTTGCGCACTCTCTTTTTACTTTTCTCCGTCTCGCTCCGTCTCTCTCTCTCTCAATCTCAATTTCCCCTTTCCCTCTCTTTGTTGTCAGCTGAAAATTATGGCCAGGGCCATTTTGCTGTCCACAGTTCGAGCTGTGCCACGTTTCTCTAGCTCTTCGACTCTTTTGTTAACTTCCTTTTTTGCTGTTTAACATGGCTGAGCAAATGTAGAACAAAAGTTGAGCGGCAGCAAAATAAGTTCGTAAAGTTTTTAAAGCAAATGCAGTTACATGAAATTTAAAGAGTTGCGCGCAACTCGGAAACGGAAGTGTAAAAGTTAAGGTGGTTCGAGGGGGCGCACATTGTGCCAAAAATGCTGAGAGCGGAAACGCAGCTAACAATAAAAGCCAAAGAGGGCATAAAACGCGCACTTCCGTTTTAAATTTCCCAACGTTTCACTCGCTCCGTTTGTGTGTATGCTTGTGTGTGTGTGTTTATGCAACACACAACGTGCAACACCGTGTGGTCAACACAAAGCTCTGGGCTTTCTCTCGGCTGCCGGCTCGGGCTTCCGGCTTGGCTAGACCGACAAAAATTGGCCGCACACTAAATTGCACACCTGAGATTAATGCGCCGGCACTTGAAAAGCGTTTTGAATCATGGTTCGCCCCGGCAAATAGGCCAAAACGAAAGGTGTAAAGGCCAAAAGCAGCTGCAGCTTGCATTTTACAGTTGTATGCAAAGCGCGACTTTGTCCATTGCGAAAGTCAAACGCTTTTCAGACGCCTTTTCCTCTTTTCCTTTTACACCTTTTACACCAGACGCCATTCGTTATTGTTGTTGTTCTCTTCTTTCATTTCTGGTCGTTACTAGCTGATGCCTTTGGGCTTTTGTAGAGGCAAACGCTAAGTGAAGGCGACCGAACGCTGGCTAGTTCAACAGTGGGTTAGTAAAATTTGTGTACAAGTACAGGATATGCTAGTTTCAGGATTAAAACAAATATTTGAATATTCCTTTGATTCGGATATTTCTAAAGAAATTTTATTTATAAATGTCGTTAGAAAATAAGGCAAACTATGTGATAATCAAAATTGATCTTTCATAAAATATATTTTTCATAAAGTTGTACAAAAATGGTTTAAAAATTACAAGAAATATGTGGTAATTGCTTATAAACTTAGATGTTTAATACAGAAATAGGCGCATAGCAAAAAAGGGCTATAAAGTAGGCTATGTCCAAGTGCAGAGTATAAGAATTTTCATATTTAAATATTCAGCTGATTATGTTATTTCTCGTTACAACTAGTCAAAATGTGTTTCAAAAGAAAGATAAATATATAATCAAAAGTATATATAGATATTAAAAAATGTTCGAGAAAGTTACAAAAATCATATAAAGAAGACAATTTGGCTTAAAATAAACAATTTATGACATAAATGGTCCAACGATTATCAACCTAAATCTTTAAAAAATATTGTTTATTTATACTAAATATTTTATTGAGCATGACAAATTTAATAAAAACTTGTTTATTTTTCTTATTCTAATATCTAATCCAAATTTGCTAACAAATGAAGCACATGTGCAGACTGAATTAAATTTTAGACTTTGCAATTTTGCGCCCTGTTTGTCTACTTTGTGAAGCCACTGTAGAAATGATTTTTTATCTTGCCCGTATTTTTCTCTCTCGACCCTTGAGCTTTTCGGGCTTATTTCTGAACGTCTCTGGCTGCACACACACACACACACTTGTACACACACACAAGTCGTCGTTGTGCACAGTGAGGAAAAGCAACTGAAAATAAATTAAGTGGAAGTAAGTCGTAACGAAGTGATACATAATTCTTTGTATTTTGTGGGGTCCCTTCATGCACTCCTGCACCCGTTGCCCCCGCCATGCCGCATGTCTTTGCATTTTTACTGCATTTCGTTTGAGTTTATTGTGGGCAACAATTGAGTGCAAGCTTGTGGCACAAGGCAGTCCAAAATATTCACACTAAAAGCAGCTCTTTAATGTAGTCACATAAGAAGATAAAAAAACATACCCAAATGCGGTCTTTGCTGTAATTAACGCCCTGCTACGGATTGTCGGAAACATGTGAGTGGGAGGGGGGTTTCATTTCGCAAAAATCCAACCTAAGTAGGGTAAAACTTTAATCTGAGTCTCAGTGATTTTGGCGCTGCCATCCGAAAATAAATCTCAGCCAGAACGAACAGTTTTATTGGGAGTTGCCGAATACTAAATGATCTTGCGAAAGGTATGGCTAATGTAATGTCGAGTTAGCTTTTCCCAAAAATGTTTATGGTAACTTTCAATAAAACAATAAACTAAACTGTGTTTATGGGAGCTGTATAGTAGAATGTTTAATTGGCTAGTTTGATATAGAAATTCTCTAAAGCAAAACACAAGAAAAGCTAAAATTATGCATGAAATTACCTGTCAACTCATTTATCTTATGAAAGCTATAAGACACAGGGTAAGCCAATCTTAGAAGTAAATATAATAAAACTCTTAAAGTTTATTCGAAATGTCTTTAATAAAAATTGGTTAGGAAAGATGATCCAGCGTTCATTTCCATAATAAGTTTATATTATTATATCTTATATAATATTTAATATAAAAGCGTCCAAGCTTTGTACATATTTATATATATTTGCAAACCTATAAAGTGACGCACATCTAATGACAAAATTCAAATACCCGCTGTCAGTGTATTTTGATACAGAACGAAACTTTTACCCCGCGGGCAGTAACCTAATATACCTTAATTTGGCTTTAATGACCAGCCAGAGAATATAGGGGGGAAAGTGGCAGAGTGTGTGGAGCAAAGCAGGTGGGCAACAACAAAGGCGTCCACTCACTTAGCTGGCCCTGTTAAATAGCCTAAATAACTTAATATCAGCCGAAGAGCTGGTTGCCGCTCTGATTGAGATTCACCGGCGACCAGTTTCGGGTCGCCTTTCCTAGCTATTGCTACTTAACTAAGCCAACGATATCATTTTATTACACAGCTCAGTGACAGCCACGACGGCCACGCCCATCGCGCCTCAGTGGATAAAAGGTGGGCGAAATTTTAGAGCTAAGCAAATGCTGCTGCTAACTAGTTGAAAAATTTCACTTTCGATTGGGCTCGATTTTAACTTTTAGCTGCTGCCACCTGCCACCTGCCACCTGCCACTTGCCAGTTGCCAGTTGCCAGCTCTGCTGCCCACACCCACACCTTCCCTTCGCTGCCCACGTTGCGCGCACTTCGAGCTCAAAGGCCATTAACGTGTTTCGTTTCATTTAACTTTTACGACGTTGTCCCCAGCCTCCCCAAAGGAGTAGCGGAAGGAGCGGGCGCAGCGTCAGCTCTGCGTTGCTATTTAGCACAGTAGCAGAGTTGCCCCTGCACCACCGCCCCGCACCACCCACTGCTGGTATTTTTGTTACACTTTGGGCCCATGAAACGAAACTTTTACCTGCTGCATGCTTGACCCAACAAAGGACGACAACGTCGCTCGCAATACGCGTGAGTTTGGTTCCAAGGAAGGAAGACAAGGGATCATGGGGCTTGGGTTGGAGTTTTGGTTGGGGGCGGCGGTGGTGAGGGCAGTGGTGGTGTGGGCGGTTTCTACTGCCTTGGTGGGTTGACCTTCGCTGCTGACAGCAGCCGTCATTAACCTTTCATGATGAGGGAACAAACCGGGGCACAATCAAGCGGAACAGGTGGCAGCCAGCAGGCTGCCTGGGGTGATTCCCATCGAGTCCTGGCAAGCAGCCATCAACAGAAGCTTGCAGCTCGGCGCGGCAAAACTTGCTTCCAGTTTTTGGTTCCTGTCGTTAAATTTGAACTTTTGACTTGCTGGTTTTGTTTTTGTTATACCCATTTTTTGTTGTTCTTGTTGCTGTTGTTGGTTTTGTTCGTGTCGTGTTTGTGGACGCTGTAAAGTATGTTAGGTAATTTTGGCTTTAATGCTGTCTGGACAGCGACATTTCGCCCAATGACCCAGTTTTCAGACTCGTTCTGGGCTATGTCTCTGTCTGTCGCAGCCGCAGCATTTTTGTTTAACTAACCACATGCCACGCCCACACACACACACACACACAGACGTAGAAACAGTCGCAAATTATTTAGCAACCGCAGCTGTGTCGGTGTCGTCGTCCTGACTGCGGTCACACAGGGTCGATATCTATTTGCACTTGCCGCTTTACTCAATTTGTTGTAAAAAGTATTTGCCAAACGAATTTGTAAAGCAAAATTATGCAGCGGGATTAGGACGCTTTAAGATCTGCCCACAGCAGTAATTAGCTTCTATTACTGAAAAAGTGAGACTCGAGTATTGGGAAATTTGTGGTATTTAGTTTTATGTATGCTGGAGTTCAGTTACAGATATTCTTCATTATTACAAGATACCCATGTTAAGTGCAAATGCGTATGCCTAAGATCTAAAATAAATTAATAATCTATCTTGACGTTTCTCTGAGTGAGAAGCTGTTGTTTTTCTTTTTAAATATGTGTGTAGTTGCAAGCTTTTTTGCAACTAATTAATTCGAACTGCTTGTGTGCAGCGAAATTCAAACACTTATGTATATTTGTTTTCGAATATATTTATTGCCGCGCAGGACACTTAGTAGAGATTATGTTTTGTATATTGTTGCTTGGCAGCCAACTCGAATTAGTTGTGCCTAGGTTGCGATCAAACGAAAAACTAACTAACTATGTAAAGCGAACGAAACGAAACTCCAATCAGACGCTCGACGGT